TGGTTTTCATTGTTATTTTCCATTTCCTCTTCCTGTAATGTTTTGCCGAGGATGTTTTGAAGAGATGGTTTTCTAGCTGCAAATTCTTTTAACTTTTGTTTATCGTGGAAGGTTTTAATTTCATCTTCCATCCTGAAGCTTAATTTCGCTGGATACACGATTCTTGGTTGGAACCCATTTTCTTTCAGTGTTTGAAATATGTTATTCCAGGATCTTCTAGCTTTCAGAGTCTGTGTTGAAAGATCAGCTGTTATCCTGATTGGCTTACCCCTAAATGTAATCTGCTTCCTTTCTCTTGTAGCTTTTAAAATTCTCTCCTTATTCTGTATGTTGGGCATCTTCATTATAATGTGTCTAGGTGGGGATCTCTTATGATTTTGCACATTCGGCGTCCTGTAGGTTTCTAGGATTTGGGATTCTGTCTCATTCTTCAAGTCTGGGAAGTTTTCTCACATTATTTCATTGAATAGATTGCTCATTCCTTTGGTTTGAACCTCTATCCCTTCCTGTATCCCAATGACTCTTAAGTTTGGTCTCTTTATGTTATCCCATATTTCTTGGATGTTCTGCTCATGGTTTCTTAACAGTCTTGCTGAACTGTCTATGTTCTTTTCAAGTTGAAATACTTTGTCTTCATTGTCTGATGTTCTATCTTCTAAGTGTTCTACTCTGCTGGTAGTATTCTCAATTGAGGTTTTAAGTTGGTTTATTGCTTCCTGCATTTCTAGAATTTCTGTTTGTTTTTTATATCCTCTATCTCCCTGTATGGTTGATCTTTTGCTTCCTGGATTTGTTTATGTAATTCATTGTCGAAGTGATCTTTCATTGTCTGATTTTGCTGTCTGATGTCTTCCTTGAGACTCCAGATCATCTGAAGCATGTATATCCTGAATTCTTTATCTGACATTCCATCTGCTGCAGCTGTTACCTCTTCTAAAGTTGAGTTGACCTGCATTGATTGTGGTCCTTTCTTTCCTTTTCATACTGCTTGCGTTTCTTTCTGCTGGTGAAACTGTTGTGTTTTTTGAAAATTTTTTTCCCCCTATATATTTATATTGCTCTTGTATAGTTGAAAAGTCTCCCTTGCAGGGTCGGGCGGCGGTCTGCCTACCTTGCAGGCTCGGGCGGCGGCTCTGCTCTGCCCCTCCTCCAATTGGTGTGACGTGTCTACCACACCCGCGGACCTCTGGGCCTGTTCTGCCGGTCAGTCGCAGGTCTGCCTACCTTGCAGGCGCGGGCGGCAGCTCTGCTTTGCTCCTACTCCAATTGGGGTGACGTGACTACCGCGCTGGCGGGCCGCTGGGCCTATGCCGGGCACGGGCGAAAGCTCTGCTCTGCCCCTACTTCAATTGGGGTCACGCCGGCGGGCCGCTGGGCCTGTTCCGTGCGCGGGCAGCGGCTCTGTTCTGCCCCTCTGGCTTGATGACAAAGTGAGAGAGACTCGAGTGTTTGTGACTCACTTTCTTTACCAGGAGACCAACTGTTTCTGTCGCCGCTGGTATCGATGAAGTTCTCTCCTCCGCCGCTTTCTGATGACATCAGATCTCTGCCATGTTGGTATCCCATGCGAATGGCAGCATTTCGTTCCCTTTGCCGGGTGACCAAAGCAACGGGTGAGTCCTGACCGGCCCTCACAAGCCCCGTCTCAGTCCTGTTGCCACTGCCTATGAAGGCTTGGTTGGTATTTACCTCCACAGTATTCAGCAGGACCCAGACCGAGAAGCAGTTTCCGCGGGTTCTTTAGCCCTGGGCCAGAGCAGTTCCGGGAGCCGGAATTCGGACGCTCCGGGCTCGGTGTATGTTCTGATAGGAGCAGGCTCCAAGAAGCAGTTTCCGCGGGTTCTTTAGCACTGAGCCTGAGTAATTTGTCTGCAAGCCGCAGGCGAATGGCAGCCTGAAATTACCTGTTCTATGGCTGAATGAGCTGCGATCAGTTGAAAACAGGGATGGTGACGTCAGCTCTCCAAGATGGTGGCCGCTGGCTTCCTCTGTGGTCTGACCAGTGTGGAGAACCGAATTGGACCGCTTCCTTCCCCCGTCTCAAACCCAGAATTCAGCACTGAGTACGGTGATTGCACAGCTGGCAGAAGCCTGCGGAAACTGCAGCGCTGTATCTTTGCATTGCTATCTCCTCGTTTCCCAGTGTGCGCCCAGACTCTAGCCTCGGGGCGATTTGCTGAATAAGCAGCGTGACCCTCCGTGCGGACAAATCTCTCGCGTTTGAGCCCCCGTAGCTGATCCTCGTGCGATGGAAATCCTTCCTCTAGGTTTTGGAGCACCCCAATTTTGCTGGAAATTCCTAACAAGATAGCTTTTAGCCTTTCAAACTCGTCATTCTCCCGCACAGTGACAGGGTACACAGGGGTAATGCTCTCACTTCGCCGCCATCTTCCTATCCACCCACAAAATTTTCTTAACATCATTCTAAAATATCAAACCTTTATCAGGAAGAGAGAAAATTTACATTGGTATGAATGTTACTAACCTTGTTTGTTCTTGGATTCAACATGAGTGGCTTGCCTTTCTCTTTCCTGTGCAAATGACGACATGCCACCGAACAAGGAGTGGCAACTGCTCTTAACCGGGAAAACATCTTTTTCTTTCACCTGTCAAAAATGAAGCAAATAAACTGATGAGAAAAATATTGTAGAATTCCATGTACATAACATATCAGCTTTCAAAAGTAGATTTAGAATCTTTCCACATGTGAAAATACTCTTTCAAAACGCATCTACATTTCCTCAAGTTCTATCAGCTGGAAAAGGGCAGCCATATGCTGAAGGTGAAGAATGAACTTTCCCGATAGCACTCTTAATTCTTGGATAATGATCAATGTTACATTTTATATACAACCTTCCATATGCCAGACCACATACTGAACATTTAACTTCTTTCTAATCCACACAAATGTGACAAGGTATGTGTGTCCTATTCTGAGAAACAAATTGAGAGGTTAATAAACAAGGATACATCTAAATAAACAGCAAAGTGGGTTCCACTTAATGGGCCTGTAAGTCAATTTGAAGGTGGAAAGGTAAGTCTAGGAAAGCGGAACATTTACACTGATGGATGAGAAGCTACACAAATTCTTTACCTAGAGCTAGAATTCTAATGTTCTCCATTCAATGCTTAAATTTAATGTACTAGTTTGCCTTAAAAAAAACCTGTTGTTTAATATAAAAACCATGTAAATTGGCTAGAAAACATATTAAGCAACGGTTGTCCTTTTAGACCTATCATAAACATATGGAAAACTACACATTAAACCCTAAATATTTAGTGGAGATAATAGATTCTTCTGCTTAATCAATTCTCCTACAAAGAACTAGAATTTACAATATCCATTTATTTTTTTAAACTTTACAATCATTGCAATTATCACAAAGTGATTTTTTTATTTTTAATTTTTGGCAGCAAATTTTTTTTAATGGAATTTCTAGTTGATGAGAAATCCATATATGGTGGCAGTAAAACCATTTACAAAAGGACTTAAAAATTAATTTCTGAGAGGAAACACATAAAAGTAACAATTTCATTTTATTTATTTATTTTTGTTTGCTTTTTTTGGTATTGGAAACTGAACCAAGAGGTACTTAACACTGAGCCACATCCTCAGTCCTTTTTATTTTTTATTTTGAGACTGGGTTTCCATAAGTTCGTTAGGGCCTTGCTAAACTGCCCAGGCTGGTCTCAAACTTGCAATCCTCCTGTTTCAGCCTCCCAAGTTGCTGGAACAACAGGTGTGTGTGACAGTAACTATCTTAAAGTGAACAATTCAGAGGCCTTTATTAACATTTTGCCACCTCCATCTAGTTCCAAAATATTTTCATCCCCTATAAGAAGACCCCATACCCATTACCCAGTTATTCCCTCTGCCCCTCCTCCCACCACCAATCTTCCTTCTGTCTTCCTTTTGCACTATCAAGAGACAAGCACTAGAAAATAACTGATCTGTTTTCTTAAAAAAAAGTCACTGTCATGAAAGCAAAGATCAAGAACTACTGGAACTTATAAAAAACTAAACTGATAATAACTAAATGTAAAGCCCGATTATAGACTAAAATAATATTTTAAAAATGCTTCATATAAAGACACACTGTAGATGACAAAGCATTATATAACTTGAAATTTTCTGAATTTGCAAACCATATATAAGATATTCTAGCCAAGGACTGTGGTGCACATCCGTAATCCCAATGGCTCAGGAGACTAGGGCAAGAGGATTGTGAGTTCAAGGACAGCCTCAGCAACTTTGTGAGGCCAAAGCAACTTAGCAAGACCCTGTCTCTAAATAAAATAAAGGGCTGGGGATGTGGCTCTGTGGTTAAGCACCCTTGGGTTCAATCCCCGGGCCAAAAAAAAAAAAAAAAAAAAAGATATTCTTACTCTGAATACATACTCTGAAGTACAAAGGGCCAAAGGAATGTGATCTTTGCAATCTATTTTCTGAAATTTCTCAAAGCAAATTTTAAAAGATAGAAATTTACACAGTAGCTTCAAGTATACTAACAAATGCTGGAGTAGTGATCTAAATGTATGATAAAACCTCAGTGAAGACTGAAATGGCATTAAATTTTAGATGTAAATTTTTAGCGATGTAACTACTGGCTTCACTCTTCATTTCAAACTTTGTAGCAAAGAGGAACAGCCTCTGATAAACAGAAATTCAAAGCCACCAAATGACTGCTTAAAAGTCCACATTAAAGGCAAAATGTGTATACTGTTAGGCTGTATTTGTTCATTTAAAAAAAAAAAAAATATATATATATATATATATACACACATATATATATCTTGCCTAAAAGAAATGCCAAAAAAAGATATCTTCTAAAATAAGCTTTTATTTTCCAATAATTTTAGATTTAAAAAACGTTACAGACAGTACAAGAGTTCCCATGAACACTCAGTTTCTCCTGAAGCTTCGGAACAGATGTTGAAGGAATGAGTTATTTCTAGGAAAGAAAAATGCCCCACCACAGCTTAAATTTCATCATCAGCCAAGACACTGACTTTAAAGTCTCAAGACTGAATGGTTTCATGGGCAAAACAAGACTGTTTTATGATGGTGCTGTTTGACACTCAGAGACCAGTAAGCTTTTCTAAAATGTAACAAGCTGTGACCTGTTTTGATATGGTGCTTGACTGAAGGATGTTTTTTACGTCTTTATAAGGTTGCAAAAGGAAAAATGTATATGACAGAGATGCATATGGTTCATAAAGCCTAAATATTTACTCATGGTCCTTTACAAAAAATTTTGCTGATCCCTACTTCAAATTCCTATGATCTGAAAGCCAAGATATAAAATCTCCTGTGTTTTACAGAAAGATGGACAGAGAGAGAGAGAGACACACACACACACACACACACGCAAGGTTCCAGTGGTGGCAGCATTTTTTCTTCTTTATTCATGTCCAGAGGTCAGCATGGACTTCAAATAGGGTTGTTTTGAAAGTGTTACTGATTATTTATTCCTGGGTACCTGAATATTCCAGTTTTCAATAACTATGTTGAAGTTGTTTTCTGCCATCCATGAACCTCAGAAATAAGGTATAATGTACTTGATGTTTCAAAAGCATTGCATAAGACTTAGTGTGTCACCAAAACACGCAGCTGTGGATGGTGATCTTGATATTAAGATATCAAGCTGTGTTGGAAATTCTTTAATATTGCCAAGAATGTTTCACTCATTTTAAAAAGCCATGAAACCAATTAAGTTTTAAATAGTCAAAGCACATTGGGAAAACAATTAAAAAAATGTATGAATAATTTGAAAGGTTTTCTGCTCTTTGAAAAATGTGGACCTGAGAGGCTGAGGAAGAAGGATCATATTCGAGGCCAGCCTTAGCAACTTAGCTAGGCCCTAAGCGAGATCTAAATTAGGAAAAAAGAAAAAAGAAAAAGAAAGAGAAATTGGAAAGCACTGTACAGGTAGCTAGGTCAAAACAGGAAGGATGGTATTATTCATAACTTCAAGGAAGAAATTTAAGAATTAATTGTGGGCCTTAAAGAAAATGACAAAGAATGTGGAATATGGGAAGAACAAAAGAATAGTGACTAAAAGGAAAAGCCAGCAATGAGAAATCTTCATAATACATTGTTAAAAAATAATTCAAGAGCTGGGCATGGTGGCCCATGCCTGTAGTTCCAGCTACTTCAGAGGCTCAGGAAGGAGGATCCCTTGATTCCAGGAATCTGAGGTCAGCCTGGGCAATAGGGTAAGATTCCCAACCTTTAAGAAAGACAAACAAAAACAAAAGAAAATGTACATGAGTTTTGGGGCTAGGGATGTAGCTCAGTGGTAGACTGTGTATGCACTAGGGCCTAGGTTCAATCTCCAGCATCCAAAGTGGGGAAGCTAAAATATTTGTACAAAAAAAGACACCATAAACAAAAATAAATGACAGCACAAGAGAAAGTATCACTTCATATCTAAGGATCCTATTGAGAATAAATGAAGAGTCCCTACAAATTTAAAAGACAAACTCACAAAAAACCAGGAAAGAAATAAGAATAAATAACTCAGACAATAAGCAATTTAGATTATCCTCAGTAGTAACCAAGGAAATACAAAATTTTAATTTTTACCCATATTGCCAAAAAAATTTTAAAAATTAATATGCAGTATTGGTGAAAGTACAGAAAACAAGAATCTTTAATAAGAATACAGCTGGATACAGTGGTACACACCTGTTATCCCAGCTACTCAGGAGACTGAGGCAGGAGGATCAAGTTTCAGGCCAGCCTCGGATATTAGCAAGGCCCTGTCTCAAAAAAATAAAAAGGGGCGGGGAGCTCAGTAGTAGAGAACCTTTTGTTTCGATCCACAGTATTGTAAAAGAAAAAAAAATTCATAGTCTTCTAGATGGAAATTTAGCCATGACTATAAATTTTGAAAATAATTCCCTCATTCTAATAATTCCAATTATAGAGTATGCTAGAAAAATGCTCACAGAAGAATATAAAAAAAACTAGATGAAGATGTTCAAACTAGCATTAATAAAAAAAAATGGTATCAACAGTGCTTCATGAAAGGTTAAATAAGGTATAACATCCATATCACAGAATATCACGTAACAATTTAAAGAGGGTAAGAACTACACAGGCTTTCATAAATATTATTTTAAATTAATTCGCTTTTTAAACCCGCATAGACCCATTTATGAGTCAATCCAATCAGAAATTAAAACATTAAATGCAATTCTAATATAACTTCTTTTGAGAAAAAAATGAGAAAAGTTTCTAGATATTGACACTGTTAATATTCCCTAAAATACTGTTTAGTGCAAGGAGCAAAATCCAGAATATATATGGCATGAAAAACTTATGCTTTTTTAAAAAATGTATTTATTTACAACTTATATATAAATGTATAAAGATATGGAAAGATAGAGAAGGACAAAGAGAAAGGACAGATAATGTGAAATGTGACTTTAAACTTTGACTTGACATAATTTGTATTTCTTCCCCCCAGCTACTCACTCCCTTTCTTTGAAAGCAAATATTATAACCAATTTCTTGTCCTAGACTTGTTTTAAAGTTTAAGGAAACAGGAAACTGGGGAGTGGGGGTTAATGGACCTACTGCCTATGGATAACATTAATGAAC